ATATTCGGATATATTTAGTTCAATTCTCATTTATCGTAAAAATATTTCGGCTTGATTGTGGGAAGATTAACTTTTATCAATAATAAAAACGTATACATTATTTTTAGATAAATGCATGAAAAAATAAAACTGTCTCGCATACGTTTGGCTCGCGCCATTAATTAAGCTTTATGCTACCATTCGGATTATATAACGTCAGGTATTTAATAACAATTACTATCCTACATTAATAGAAGGTGCGAAAGGATGCGAGGGATTCGGAAAAAGTTGGAAAGGGGTGGTTAGACGTTACGAGGATTTACGAGTGGTTCTATTTCACGCGTCTAACCAGTGGACTTGCTACTATAGTAGGGTCAGCGAATGTGGAAGAGAACAACGAAGAGATGAAAGAGGATAGAAAACACGAGATTTGAATCAGAAAGTGTGCGACTCTCTCGTCGCGCGTATATACAGGATATATCAGGTTTTCGATATCTAAAATTGAAAATAATTTTTTTAATAAAAATTTCAAATCCCAGTAACTAAACAATTCTATTCTATTGAACACGAAGAATTCTTAAGTTAAAAATCGAATTTTTTAAAAATCAGTATTTGTATAAAAAAAATATTCCGTTTTATTTCATTTAAAGGTTATTTTAAGTTAAATAGATTCTATGTTTTCAGAATTTTTATTCGAACATTTTAATTGAGTTAGTAGTCGGTTACAAAAACGTTTAATTTGGAACGTGATAAAATTATTGGGAAATAAATGACCTTCTGCACAACTTTCGTTAAGCGAAGAGCGTTGTGCAGGAATTTGCAAAAGAATCTGTAGGTACAAAGGAGAGATGCGGTGAGATACTCCGTGTATAGAACCGCGAGGTAATAGTTTTTAGCTACCAGTAGTCATTTGTAACTCGAAGCTGGCGAGAGATCAGGTTTATCACCGCCATAAAGATCTCGGCTTCCACGGTGTTTCGTGGCCTATACTAAGCGAGTAGTTAGCGGAGTGCGAAGCGCCGACCATTCGCGCTCGTTGTTGCGATTTATGCAAATTAGTAGACTGCATAGCTTCTTTCGTCAGGAGACAAAATCTTGCACTTTTTCTTAAGGATATTCTTCTCTCTGCTTTCTCTTCTTCTTCTTTATATGATTTTTTTTGCAAGAAAACAAAAATGTTGATCTTCATTTATTTTGCAATTAAAACAATTTTGCATTCTCACTGAAACACGTAATGCTTACTCGTTCGATAATTCACGCTATTATAAAGATAATTGTACCGAGGCGTATATCGAAGATGTTTGGATTGAAATTTTTTTCAACATATATGACATTTTTACTATAATAGTTTTCCAAACACTTTTATGGTAATTAATCATTCTTTATAACACGATATCTTGATAAAATTAATGATCTCTTTTATACATAAATATTGATGTTATTGCAGTATCCGTTTAAGTCATTTATAATAATGTACGCAGCATACGTGCTGCGTAAATTATATACTAAATAGCTTATTATTAAAATTTGCAATTAATGGACTATCAAATTGAAAAAAAATATGATTATTAGAAAATTATTTATTTATTTCGTTAAATGTTTCCATGTTAAGTAATTATATTGTGCATTGTCTTTTATAATTGAAAATATAAAACCCAGCATAATATATAATTGGTGATTTAACCGCTACATTTCATTTGAATTAGTTGTAATGAGCACACGGTTAATCTTCGATAATATAGAGCCGCCGACCTGCTTTTAGCAAAATTTGATTACAAGTTTAACTGCCACTATAAAGGCGTTACTCTTCGGAAAGTTATATCAGCATTGACGATTTCTCTATTCGTATTCATCTCGCAACTTACGAATAAATCATTTTATAAATATTCATTGAATGATATTATTGCAAAAATATGAAATTAAAAATTGGTGAAAGTAATATATTTCTTTGTTTAATTTTCTTTAAAAGAGAAAGATTTAAATATTTATACGTCATTTTGGTTTAGTGAAAAGAAAAACATTTAGTTGTATATTTATTCGTCCTTTTCGATTGATTTATGGTGTAATAAAGCTTTATTCGGCGAACTGGTAAATTCATGATACGACGTGTGTGCATTAATGCGATGAGTACAAACACCGAAGTCATCAATCTACTACATTACGAGGAAGTACTCGGATCTAAAGGCCATACTTCACTTCGCGTTCGCTGTATTAGCTTGATGAGTATCATGGATGTTTCTGTCTAGCTGTCTGGTCAATAATTCTTCCTCTAGGCAAGACATTCATTGCAACCTCGTTAAATGGTGATAAAACTGCCGCGTTTGCAATTACGATATAAATTATCTTTTCTAAAATAAAATTGTGTTTATAGATATGTATGACACTGTACGACACTTCTTACAATAAGAAATAACATATCATTTCTATGCTTTTACATTTCCAATATTTTTTCAATATGTTGACTTTATTTCATACCGTGCTGATTTTTGTCATCGCGTTATTTAATTTACAATTAGTATCACACACACCCACACACACACGCACACGCGCGTATTGGAAAGTAATCACTCCTTTCGTACATGAATCCTCACATGAACGTTAACAACTCCATGATTACCTACAGTCGTAATTGCGATATCTACTAAGTAGTCCACTATGTGGCTTAGCTGCGACGCTTGATTATGTTAATAACTTCATTTAAAGGATAGCACAAGTTCGACCAATCTCGAAGCCATCTTGGAAATTTTATTCTCGACAGAAATGCGTCGAAGCAGCTTATTAACAAAGTTAAATTGAGCAAAGTTTCTGGCTCTGATTACCCGCTTGCGCGCAGGCTAGTTCAGTTTTCAACAGAGGCGAGTTTACTTCGCTAGGCAGTAAAGCAGTTTCCCAGCATTATCTTATGAAGATTTATTTGTACATATTTGCCGGTACATCATCTCATTGAACGTTACGTAATCGATATACCGTCTATTCGGCTATCGTCATTATACAAAGAAATTTGAATTAATATTTTGTTTCATCACACTACTTAATTAGCGCGTCGATTCAATAACAGCTACGATATGATATCTTTAATCAACTTTATTCTTAATTAGTACTATCTAATATCGATATTAATGTTTCTTTTCTTGATTTTTTTTTATCAATTACTTTTTATTCTTATCAATTCTTATTAAAGATATAATGTGACAGAGTATCGTATGAAAAATCATCCGGCTGAAGTTTTTGCAATGTCATCATTCAAGTTGTCGCTGCGTAGAAAATCGCACACACATATGCACAACATATGAACATGCGAAAAATAAGCTACACCACGCTATCTCAATGCACATATGTCATCTTTCGAGGATGATAGAACGAAGACGACGCACGACTACGTTTGACCTTCGCAAAGTTTGCAATCTCTTCCACTTGTGCAACCTGTTGCCTCACTGGCAAAAGACGGCTTTCAAACGTACCACGATGAAAACTGAATAGAATGCGACATGCGGCACTCGTGCTTCTCCTTTACGGATATGATCATTTCGCGCGAATATTTAATGCCAAAATGAAACTAGCACGCAGCGGCTTATTATTGTTATGTATGTTAAACGCATATATTTTGTAGTTAATGAAATATCTTGAGAATTTTCGTTAATTATATTTACGTTTATTATTGCATAAATAGTTCTGATGAAAACGACAAATGCGTATTATTAAACGTTCGTTTGTCGATTCAACGAAATCTGTATTAATACGCATATCATTTCAAGTTCTGTTAATCTTTTTTTCAGTTCAACTCGTTTGATTAAGTGCTTCAGTGTACGAAGCATTTTTTTAAATAAGCTACGCACGGTACATATATGCAACTGGCACATAAAAATGAATTATGAGGAAAGAGCAAGTGACAAAGTCGAGCGTAAGCTATTTTTGACAGTGAGATCATTTTTCAAGACTGTACTAGAGGAAAATGTACAAATACTAATGTAGAATTGAGATAATCTTGAGATAAAATGATATTTTCGCTTAGTTTGCTATATTGTTAATTCTACTATGTACATACAGGTGAAATTTTTATCCATACATTTGACCTTCATTCTTTTTATCACTTTATAATGATTTTTATCTCGTAATTAATATTATATTTTTAATAAATATTATTTCTCTATCACTAATATAACATACTAATATTCCGAAGAGAATTTGACTTTATATATTTGACATTCAACAGAATTATTGTACACATTTTACATTTTCCAATGTAGTATATTAAATTTTTTCTTGAAAGTTAAAAAAGTGTGCAAGAATAGGAACATTAATAATTTAGAGAGTCATTCCTTTACAATTCACATTTTCCTCCAAAGCTTTTTGTCCTTTTCGGGAATAATTTATAAGAAAAAAATAAGATCATAGACGAACATAAAGAAAAATAACAAAGAGGGGCACAGGTGAGAGACTAAGTCTGACGGTATTTTGACAATGCGATCATTTTTCAAGTAGAATGGTATAGTTAGTCATCTTGTACTATCTCGACCTTTGCGTCGAAATCGCGTACAGATGTATAAATGTGCGTGCTATGAGCTTTCGAATGTCTGTCATTTCTCATGAGACAACACTGAGCTATACATATGCGTAACAATACCTTCTTTCTGAATATTTATATTGGTCTCAGGAAATAAAATGATTATGCATTTGAAATATTATCTTGTTATATAATACCATACGAAATTGAAAATTAAATTGCAAAATAGCTATAATTATATATATTTTATATTTATTAAAAAATAATTATATATAATTATATTTTAAAAGAAGTTAAAAGTTCCTTTTAAAACGATTAATTTTATTATAACATATGATAAACAAATGATAAAAACAGGCAATTGAGAATTGGCGCTGTAGACGGTGTACAGTTTTTTTGCTCTTTTAAAGTATTTTATATTAGATAAAAAGAGAAATACTTGTACATGTTTCGATTAATCTTCTAGCCTTCGTCAGCAAAAAATCAATAAATGATACAGTAGGTTACTATCCATTAGTCGTAGTTAATACCGATGAGAAAACAATAATCGCAGCAAATTGAAGTCTGGTCGACAAGTAACGTTGTGAGACGATTTATTATAAATATAAGTCTATAAATTAAGTCTATATATATATCAATTTTAAATATCAATTATAAATATAAATTCATAAACTTTACTTGTACGATAAGACGTATATCAATAATATTTTGTAAATGATTTATTGCTATATGTATGTTATTAAACTATTTTTCGTAAGTATTTTAAATTCGATAAAGATACCACTTAATCATTATTTTGAACGCGTTAACGCTGTCGTCGTTCTTTCTGCGAAAGATTCGTGTTTTTGTGAAATTTTCCGTATCTGTTGCGCATTGCAACTTGCAAGTGTACTTTGCAATCTGTAAAGAGGCATAAAACATTTATATTCTATTATTTCTCAGAACTGTGTTTCGGAGAATCATATCGCGGGGCAATCAAAGAGAGCATGTGCATGATTAATATGCACTCCTCTACATCTGTAGCACTCGATGGTTGCTCTCTAGGAAGTTGATACACACTAATAAGAAAATGTTTTTCATTCTTGCAAAACTGTATGTGCACAGTGTATCTCTCTATCGCATAAATGCGCGATATGCGTATGTATATACATGTGCATTTGTACGTGTGCATGATCCTGTGCGCACATATTCTTCCTGTTATTAACAATGCAAATGGGTTCAGACAGCGGTGCTAGGGAATAATACACAAGCATGGTTGCGTAAACAAAATACAGAAAAATTGCTCAATTTCGCGACTGAGAATTGCTTACTTTCCGGAGCCGCGCGAAGAGGCCGTCGTTCTTTAATAATGTATACATTTAGTTCAACATCAGACAACACATCGCCGAAAGCTAAACAATGCGTCAAAGCTAACCAATAATTCGGAATAAATGATAATTTCGCTATTGTGTCAGTTGCCCGTTTGCTGCACATACACTCATATCTGACATCAACATACTCCGTTTACACATCGTTATTCAATGATAGGTCATTATGCCGATTCTATTGTAATCTATTCGAATAATTAACATTTTCGATATTAATCCTAATGCCCGTACAATTGTTTTATGATCCAGGTAGATATAATCAGAATTACTTTTATAATACCTACCGCTGCTTTCTAATTTACAATCAGTATGGTATGATTAATAATAAATGGATATAATTGATAATAATTAAATTTAAATTTAACAAAGGAATAAATAACTCAAATAATATATAAAATTGAGCTTTATATAGCTCAATTTTAAGTAATAATACGTGCTTGATATGTATAAAATTGTTATGTATTAGATTAATTAGCGCATCAGATAATTTCGATGAATCAATCAAATAAATTCTCGATTATTTTAAATTTTGCTGGAACTAAAAATAAAAAAAATAATATTTATAGTATATATACTTGTCGTGTATATTATATGTATAAAATTACATAGTAAAAATACACATACTATCATATTTATACTTACATCAGAGAAAAATACGGAAAAGTTGAGATCTTTGTACATATTACTATAGTATATATAAGCAAAAATGTAAGATATCTTTCGCACGAGGAATAATCGCATTAGACAGTTTGACCGCTCGTGAAAGGAAAGATGAGAAATGCTCATCAATTGCGCGTTGATATTCGGCAATGGAGTTTCGGTTTCGTTTCGTATCCTTGAGAGAAGTATGTGTGTGTGCACGCGACATTGCGTTGTTCGCTTTGAAAGCTAGACAGAGAGTTGTGATCGATCGAGTCATCAAATATCTTGCCATATTGTTGGCTGAATCCCTGGTGGCGCGGGCGGAGAGTAAGGACGAGAGGCTCACTATTTTTATTACGCGGTTTAACCTGACGGCGATTGCATCGACCGAAGACCGATGACGTTTTTATACATGACGGAAAAAGGTCGAATAAAAAAGTGCCACGAAAGCGAGATCATTTCGAAGTACTATCATTCCACAATTTTTTCCGATCCTTGGCTTGTCCGCGTTCAGAAAAGCTTTTTGATAATATAATAAGAAGTTTACTTTGCACGCGTGCTACTATATTAATGAGAGAAAGATAGTATTCTTTTATTTCTACATTGTGTAATCCTACTGAAATGAAACTATTACTCGAGTATTACTTTTACTTTTCGATTTATGATACAACGAATCTAAAAATCTCGAATCAATCAAAAATACAAAAAAGAACACGCAACTATTAATTTGTATTATGCTGAACTAGAAAATATTAATGAAACTGTAAAAGTTAAAAGAATAAGATACACACATATTGTCCGTTCAATGATATATATTTATGTAACCTAGACAGTAATAGTCTGTCAAGATAACGATGTTACATCATTATACTTATATACAATTTGTAAAACAAAATAGGAAAGAAATAGCTCGCGAAATTAGAATGACGTATTTGCATTCGCAAAGTCATTAGGAAGAAGCGTGTGAGCCATAACGGATTACACATATGTTAGTAATGACAAAGCGCAACGAAGAACAATAAATAATGGAGCGACTGTCTATCCGAATACGTTGTAGAGAATATCGCACGCGCGGGTTATCTCACGCGAAGAGCCGCGACATAAGTATGCATGAAGTTAGCTACGGGTCGTCTGAAATATTAAGCAGCTAGACTCTTCATGCTGAGGTCTGAAAACTGTTTACCCTGGAGGGCACGACAGAGAGAGGGTCGAAGCCACCGTTAAAACCACGGCCGACTACCTACTCCGTTTGATAAATAATGCGGTCCGCATTTTGCGCGCGAAAACTTTCGGATATCGAGCCGCGCGACGGCGAAACGGGATCCGCTGAAAGCTGCGTGCGTGTGGTTAAAACCACATCGTGTTGCAGCGATCGGGAGTAGTAATCTTGAAGACACGCCACTTGCGGGTGGTAGAATCTTATTAAAATTTTGTACTATCCCCTATATAGCTATATAGCACTAATATAAGTATTTGTGTCGCACTATGTGTCGATGATGTACAATACCCAGTTGTTTTTCTAGCCATTGTCTAAATATTATAACAATTGCCGCTGGCGGGCAAAGTTCTAGGCGACTCGAGGCGACGCGAGGCGACGATGGAAAGCACGTTGGCGTTTGCCGTCGATCGCAGTTCCGCGGCGTGCGCACAGCGAAGATTGCGAAGTTTCTCACCGAGGATTCCTTACAAAGCCTGACTTATTTAGCCCCAGGCCCACGATGGGCGCCACCTCTCTATACCACCCCTTCCCTCCCCCCGGTTCGCCGCCCCTTTGACTTGGTTTGCACCGTTGGCGGAGTACGCCGGAGGTACTCTGAGAGGAGGAGGAGGAGGAGGAGGAGGAGGAGAAGGCGAACAGGCGGAAGAGGAAGGTTGCAGGAGCGAGCTTGAAAGGACGAAACGCTCTTTTGTCGGTGCCCTCTACACCGCAGAACTTTATTAATTGCGCGTTTTGTTATGCAGATTCCTGCAGAGCCAGTCTCAGTCTTCCAACTCCCGGCTCTGCCCGGAGCAACCTTGTCTGCCGGCCCGCGCGACCCCATTAACTCTCCGTTGGATCGCGAGAGTCCAGACTCCGCCTTTAAAAGATTACCCTCGAATTCATTGCCTTCAATTGGGAAAACTTTGCGCATTCTCTGCAACGATCTTTCCCACCATCATCGCGTCACCGTATTCCTCATCCCTTGAATATCCAAATTGCGTTGTGCGTTTGTAGATCAATCATACATAATTAATCAGCTTGTATGCTTGTATATCATTATGATATGTCTTAAAATGTCGCTTATGTCGCTAACTTATATAACGTTTATTAATGAATCTGCAGGAAGTCGAAAGATAAATTATCCGCGAATGACTTTTTATATGGAAATGTGATCAACATCTGCTGCAATACTAATAATAACATTAATAATGTTAACAAATTGTAACAATAGTTTCCACAACTTTCTATTTAAATCTTATTGATTTTCCAATTTTATCGATATGTTTGATGTACAAAATGCTAATATTTTATCATTGTATGTACCATGTGCTAAAGTATTAGGCACTTGCAATTTTCTCGCATTTTACGAAAAATTAAATATTTCGGCGAGAAGAAATCTCAGAGAGGTTTTCGACCACGCATTTTAAAGCGTAAAGATAATATAAGGCTTTAAATCTGCGTTTGAATATTTTGTCTACGATATTTTGTTCCTAAGTTACATAAAATTGAAAAATGATATCTTTACAATATTTTTATCTTATTTTAGAGTGTTACAGTTCAATAAAACGTCATCAAACAAAATTTAATATAAAAGTATCTTAAAGTAGGCTTCCTAAGCTTCAAAATGCTTTTCGAAAAAAATTTATACGATAATTTTTCGCAAAAATATCGTACTTTTTATTATATGAAATTTTATCGTGTACAAACTTTTTTAGAATTGAGAGATGATCGAATAAAGCTTCTAAAACATTTTTCACTTTTGTATAATATTAAATTTTGTTTGCTGATACTTATTTCATTGAACTGTAGTTAACGCTTTAAAGTAAGACAAAAATATTGTAAAGATATTATTTTTTAATTTTATGTAACTTAGGAATAAAATATCGTAGACAAAAGATTCAAACGCAAATTTAAAGCACCATCTTTACACTTCAAAATGCGCGTGGTCGAAAACCTCTTTGAGATTTCTTCTTGCCGAAATATTGAATATTTGTAAGATATCGCGAGAAAATTATAAGTGTTTAATGCTTTTGTACATGGCTGTATACATATATCGAATCATAAACTCAACAGTGCTTTTATAGCATCTTTACATGTAACCATGTAACTACTAATTGTAAGAGAAAATAACAATTTGAATAATATGTATATGTATCACGTAAATATTTAGACTAATAATAGCACTTAATACCAAGTGGCCGAAATTATATATATTGATTTAAATCAATTATTACCACTATTGTGTATAATTAATTTATACACACACATACGTTGCTCCCTCTCTCTTGAGTTGTTCCATTATTTTATATCAAAAATATTCTATAATTCTTGATACAAATTGTATACAATGAAACATGTTTTCGAAATCATTGACTTCCGAATTCCGTTTTATTCTCAAGCTGATTACGCTGCGATCATAGTGACAAGCTATTCCCTCGGACACACTGATAATTAGCCCATTAGGAAATTAAAAGTCCAACTGCTGGAAAGGCGAAGTGGTGTCCATTTCGTCCGAAGCGCGTTCTGTTACGACGCTAGTCATTACTTCTGTCTGAACCAAAACGAAATATTCCTCCGG